CCCTCCCCCCCCCCCCCCCCCCAGTCTCCCGGGTCACCCAGTACAGGCGATCGTTTTGTACCTGAAAGTACGACCCTTGTGATTGCCCATGGGGCTTTGCTCCATCTCCGTCCTCCATCGCGGCTTGGTCCCAGGCGTTCCACAATGTGAGATCCTCCCTTTGTTCCCGCACGAAGTCCACACCCCGCCCGATCTCCGTCAGGCCGCCCGCCTCCAGTCCCTCATTCTGCGGGGTTCCAGTGCCATCGGATCGTTTTGTACCTGAAAGTACGACCCTTGTGATTGCCCATGGGGCTTTGCTCCATCTCCGTCCTCCATCGCGGCTTGGTCCCAGGCGTTCCACAATGTGAGATCCTCCCTTTGTTCCCGCACGAAGTCCACACCCCGCCCGATCTCCGTCAGGCCGCCCGCCTCCAGTCCCTCATTCTGCGGGGTTCCAGTGCCATCGTCACGGGATTCTCCCCCTTCTGGGAACAGGAACCCCTCGGCGGTAAGACCGCCCCACTGTTCCTTCGTCCTCGGGGCGTCCCCGCGCTGGTGGAGCAGCTGCCGGAAGCCTGGCCAATCCCACCCTATCACCGCCGGGTAGGGCAAGGTGGGGACCTTCCCCACTCTCCAGAGTTGCTCTCTTTGCCCGTCCGCCAGTAGAACTCGGGCGGAGGGGTAATCTCGGACTTCCCCATGGACACAGCGCATCATACGGGGTCTCCTTCTCTCCGTCCGGGATGAAATCTTCTCGCACCAATGTGACGGCGGAGCCTGAGTCTACTAGGGCTTGCACCCCTTTTCCTTCAACCTCTATTGTGGCCAACACGGGGGCCCCAGGGTGCAGCTGTCCCAGGGTGCAGTCCGTCAAGGGGCAGTCCCTCTTATAGTGTCCCTCCTGGCTGCACTGAAAGCAGGCCTCTCGGGTCGGTGCCCTCCTCTCCTCGGCCCCCTCTTCCTGGGCGACCTCTGCCTCGGCCCCTTCGGCTGGCCTTGAGGGCCACACTGGGGCCAACTTGCATGTGGGGCCTGGGCTGCTCCCGGGGCCTCCAAACTGCCCTCTTCCTCCGGGGCCTCCCCCCAGGCGAGGCCCCCCTACCTTCGATTCTGGGCGGGTCACCCGTGGGCGGCTGCTCTCTCCGTCCTCTGCGGCCATGTATGCCTCCATCAGGGTTACAGCTTCATTGACGGTCGTGGGCTGGTTCTTCTTTACCCATTTCTGGTCCTCCCGGGGCAGGATATTGATGAACTGCTCTGACATGATGATCTCCATCACCTGTCCGGCCATCTTTTGGTTGGGCTCTATCCATTTTCTCGCCCATTCCCGCAGTCTCTGGGCTACCGCCCTCGGTAGTTCCTGGGGCCCGAACCGCTCCTGGCAGAATCGCTGCCGGCAGGTGTCCGGAGTGACTCCTAGCTGGTCCAGCACAGCCTCCTTCACTTAAAATAGTGCAGGGTGTCTTTAGCCGCCAGACTCCGGTAAGCGAGCTGGGCCGAGCCGGTAAGGTAGGGGGCTAGTAGGGTGGCCCACTGATCCTCCGGCCACCGGGCTGCGGTGGCCACCCTCTCAAACATGGTGAGGAAGGCCTCTGGGTCGTCCTGGGGCCCCCATCTTAGTCAGGCGGATGGGGAGGGTTCCCATCCCCGGTCCCTCGAGGCTACCGGCTGTCCGGCCTGCCGTGTGGTTGTGACCCATTGCTCTTGCTGGGCGCTCAGCTCCTGCACCAGCTGCCGTTGCTGGTTCTGAAGTTGAGTTGCCAGATGTTGCAGGAGCTCAGCCTGCTGCTGCTGTCTTTGGGTCTCTCCTATCCAGTCCAACAGCTGTCAGGGCTCCATCACCCCACTCGTCCTTTCGTTGTCTCCTTTCCTTCCGCCTGTGGACAGTACCCCTATTTCTGAGTTCCCGGGGTTCCTTAGTGCGCATTCAGCCTGCCCACATTCTCCACCACGTGTGACGGTTCTAGTTCTGGACACGAGCCCGTGCCCCCCCTCCTCGGGGTCACGGCCCAGCGAGCCCTCCGTCTATCCTCTTGGTTTACAGTGTCTTGATGAGCACGAGCTCCTGCCGGCCCCCTCCCCCCCCCGCGG